ATATATATATATATATATACCAAATTGATATTGGACAATTGGTAATAAACGGAGGGGAAAAACTAAAAGTAAGCTTTGAAAGATCATAAAGAGCTGAAAAGGTAAAAAAAAAAAATATTTAACTAACTAAACTCTTGTAATGTTAAATTATATCTACGATTTATTTAAATTAAAAATAATATAGAAATTTAACGTTTGAGATATACTTCTGGGATGATATAATTGAGCTTTTGTGTTACTTGGCTTAATACTTGGTCTGGGCTTATGGGCTGCAAAATAAATAATGTGGACTCCAATATTTTTGGGTCAAGACTTCGCAAATATTGGGAACGATACATAACTCCTGTATATATAAAAAGAGAAAATTTCATATACAAGAGATTAAGTATAAGATATTTCAAAAATAAGAAAATAAGTATCATATTTCACCAATCAAATATTAGCCTAAAAATGAATACAAATATTAATTTAATTAAAAATGGAAAACAATCCTGCACGATTAGCAAGAAATACCGTACCCTGCAGGATTCTCCAAAAAAAGAAGAAATCATCTCTCAAGCTGATTCTAGTGGCCAGAAGATCTGAAAATACATCCAAATTACCGCCGGCTCTCGCGGAAGTGACGGTAAAACCGAATTCTGGTTACAAATTGCAGTCGCTGGGTCGCGTTACCTCGGATTAAAACACGATCCCTCGAACAGTCACAGATTACATTCATCAGGTGTGTAATTACAATTTATTCATTATAATTTGTTATTTATTCATGCTAGACAAGCTTCGATTGATGGTGATTTTCGACGGAACTGTGATCGTAATATCGTACATTGCTGTTCGAAACTATTGTGATCGTTATAAAAAACGTGTGATCAGCTATTCATAAGATGTGACCGCATGCAGACAGTACGCATGGGTATTTGTGTCTTGAAATGTGTGATGTGTGATATATTGAATCTGTGTCATGTGATATTAATGCTCTTATTTGAATCTAATCATATGCGACAGATCTACACTTAGTTATCGTGACTGAATATTGCATGTAATTGTGATTTAATATGCACATGTGACCTACATGTATTCAATATATGACCATGATATTCAAGATACAACATGCGTTTGTTGTGACCTGTGATCATTTAACAGAGTTGTGCCCGACATGCAATTAACTGTGACCAATATACAAAGATTTGTGGCCACTCTTCAACGGCATGTGACCAATATACAATGACCTGTAACAAATATGCAATCAAAATAACCATATATGACTTGCATGTATTCAATATGTGACAATGATACTTGAGATTCGACGTATGTTTGTTGTGACCTTTGATCATTTAACATAATTTTAACCCATATGCAATTAGATATAACTATAATTGGATGTTTGACTGATCATGTTTTCACTCATTTTGCAAAAATGAGGTTAATTCATGTATGTTTGTTGAATGGATCACAAATGTCACTGGTGTTATATGATCGTAGTTGCGGGTATTTGAGGTTTGTCGACACAGTTATGAAAGAGTTTAGTTTCGACCCTGCAAAAGTTGTTGTAACAATGAAGTATATTTTGAATAGTGATCTGCCTCCAATAACAATCAAAAGTGGCGATGATATCTTGTCTTATATGGTTTTGAAGGATATGAATCGTGACCTTGCCAAATATCCAATTCATATCGAGGTCACAACTGTAGATATTGAAAAACAGCCTATTGCGCTATCAATTGACGTTCAATCGAACGAACACGGGTTTTCATTAACAGATATGTCATCAGATATATGTGGAGCAATAGTGGATCCATCTAGCGACGAGTTTGAGCATGAGGTCACATTTGTGGTGATGGGAGATGCTAGGGAGGTAGAGGAAGGAAGAGTTTTTCGTAACAAGGAGAAAATGAAATTGAGCTTGTCGTTTTATGCAATCCAAAACATGTTTGAGTATGTGGTTGTTCGGTCCAATAAGAAAGACTATCTCTTGAAATGTTCACATGATGAGTGTAATTAGACATGTAGAGCATCGAAATTAGCCAGAACAGATATGTTTAAAATCAGACACATTGCAGAAGGTCACACATGTGCTTCAAACATCGTACTCAGTACTCATAGGCAAGTAACAAAGACAGTTGTGTCAACCTGCATTAAGTACAAGTATATATCATCGCGCACCATATACACACCGAATGATATACGCAATGACATGCTGCATACATATGGAGTATCTTTGAATCATGTCAAAGCTTGGTGATCTCGAGAGGAAACTTTGAAAGTGCTAAGGGGTGATCCAACTGATTCATTCAATAAGATACCAGCCTTTTTTTCGTGCTACAACAAACAAATCATGGATCGGTCACAAGTCTAGAAATTGATGGTCACAATAGGTTTAAATATTCCTTAATGGCACTAGGTGCCTCTATACAGGGATGGAAACATTGTAGGCCAGTTGTTGTGGTTGATGACATATATCTAAATGGATACTATGGTGGTAAATTATTCATGGCATATACACAAGATGCAAATAACAACATTTATGTACTTTCTTTCAAGATTGGGGATAACGAGAATGACAGCTCCTGGACATGATTTTTTAGAACAGAGACGGTTTGTGCTTTGTGTCGGATCGTCACAACAGCATCAAAAAGGCGATTGAAAATGTGTATCCGAGAACTTGTCACAGGATATGTTCGTACTATCTACTACAAACTCTAAAATCGTGGTACGGGAGATCAAGACAAATCATAACACAAGCATTCAATGTAGTTGTTCGCGTCTATACACTGTTGGAATATGAATATTACATGCAACAACTCGGCTTGATTAATGGGAAGATAAGGGGTTACCTGGTATTATACTAGACATTGTCCTATGTTGATATTCACATAAATACATTTGACATGATACTATACACTATATGATACACATTTTCATGGTTTTGTTTATATGACGAAGTTGGACCTGAGAGATGGTCACGTTTCCGCATGCCTTCAAACAGATATTCCACAAGACTCGATTAATGCGGTCACAAAGTCTGTCAAGAACTACCCTATTATAGCTTTTTTGGAATCATTGAGACAAATTCTGCAATCTTGATTATGTAGACACAAGGAGGATGCCCAAGGCACACAACCTTGTCAAACAAGTATGAGAAGAAGATGAGGAAAATGAGCACAGATATGATAAACTTGAGGGGAAAGTTAAATACTGTGACCTAATCTATAATCTGTGACTTACCTGAATTGATATATGACATGTGCTGTGACTTTTGCTGTGATCTGTACCGTTGTGTTTCAGTAATATTTGTGCAATATTATATATAACTATATGACATGCAATTTCATCCGTGTCCTACTTTTTCATTACGTGACTTAATATGTCTATAACTTGAATCTATATCTACAGGCTTCCCCTATTAATCAGTCAATGTTCTCAATTAGCGATGAAAGTTCCTCTTTCGTTGTTGATATAGAAAATCAGATATGCACTTGTGGGATGCTTCAAATTGATCAACTACCTTGTCCACATGCTTTGACTGTGTTTGCGAGTATGAAGATGGATCCATATGAATACTGTTCATATTGCTACAGAAGTGAAGCATTCAGAAATACATACCAAGAAACCATTTTTCCTGTAGGAAAACTAGCTGAATGGATAGTGTCAAATGATGTCCATGAGATAGTTGTAATTGCACCTAATTAAAAGTGAAGTTGTGGAAGGCCTACTGAGATGATATTCAGACCAGCGTATGAGGAAAATCTAACCGTCAAATGCGGCCGGTGTGGTGAAAGTGGTTTCAATTGTAGAACATGTAGCAGCCTAGTTCCGTTAAGTCAAAGCCACAAGAATAAAGAGAGGAAGGGGATGAAGACTGGAAATACACATTGATATATTTTTTTATAATTCCCTCGTTTTTTCATTCGTTGATTTTTTGTAATGTAGGATGCACAATATTGGATGACACATGTTACGCCCCGATCTGAACCGCTCGGAATGGCCACCACCACACATTTCAACCTAATAGACACACATTCGAAGTGTTTCCGAAGTAATCTCACCAATGTCAATGACCTGATAACACATTGCGAGACATAGGTGATCCTGCTGAACTGACCGAAGCGCCCTCGCCCCTGAGACCGAGGTAAAGTGGACCTCTGTCAGAAGGTCCGCCGCCAACCTAAGGTTTAAATTGATTTGACGTCTCCATGAGGCTAGTTGATGTGACTTATCAACTTTAGTCAACTCAACCCGGGATAGGTGAGGATCCTGGCAATAGGGTCCGTCCAATGAGAAGATCAGTTCGGCCGGATCAGGAACAAGAACAGGCCCCTCCTCATTCTAGAAATAGGAGGGATAAGAGGAACCTAGTTGATTGGGGGAGTCGAGGAGGGGCACCTCCACCTCCCCATAACATTCAAGATGATGAAGGGTCAGATGGGCTTTGTCGATCTTATGAGATTGACGATGATGATGATAACCTCCATTTCTCAAGGGAGATCCAAAGCTTCCCAATGCCAGTAAATTTCATGCCTCCTAAGATCTCCAAGTATGAAGGAAAGGGAGACCCAGAGAAGCACCTCACCAAGTACATGACACAGATGAGCCTAAGGGGAGCCTCGCTCGCCTTGAAATGCAGAGCCTTCCATTTAACACTAGGCGGAGTCGCCGAAGTGTGGTACAGCAGGCTTCCTCCCTAAGCATTAGAAATTGGCCAGATTTGAAGAAATCATTCTTGAACCAATACCTCTCACGCAGAGAAGGAGAGACACCAGTGCAACGCCTGCAAGATATGAGGCAGGCCCCTGGGGAGATGTTGAAAAGCTATCTCGCCAGGTTCACAGACGAAATCACCTACTGTGAACAGGTCACTGACAGAGAAGCTCTTTCAGCCCTGAAAGGCAGGCTCAACATGAACACTTTGTTTTGGAGGGACGTGCGCAGCAAGAATCCCTCCACCTATGACGAACTGGTGGAAATGATGAGAGTGAAAATTGTGAGTGAAGAAATGATTGATCACCGAAATCGTGCCGCGCAAGGACTCCCTCTGCCTCAGAGGCAGGTAGGTCGAGGACCTGCAACACACATTGTTACTCAGCAATGGACTCAGGCAGGTCACACAATAGCTCCCACCTCCGGATAGGCACTGGCTTCTGCCACACTAAATGCAGTGTCGATATTGGCATATGAAAATACTCCTGGCGAAGCAGGTCCATCTGGAAGAAACGATCAAACAGGCCCTTAGAAGGAGCAATGTTTTGCACTTTCCATCAACTGTATGGGCATGACACTAGTGAGTGCCGAGATGCCAATCGACGCCCTGATCGAAGCAATCCACACCCTTCTAGCAGGAATGAATATCCTCGCAGATCCACCTCCCCGAGCAGGGAAGAGAGAGGGCACAGAGAGCAATCGCCTCGGAGAAGAGAATCAAGGGACCGAGGTCAATCTAGACAGAGAAACGAGACCCCATTTTTTGGGAGCCAGGTCATCAAGGAAATCGATACCATTATTGGGGGACCCCACATCGGTGGCAACATCAAGAATGCCCAAAGGAATTATATAAGGGAACAAAGAACCCGTCAATGATCACTTATATTGTCAACGAGTCGCAAGCAGCCGATAGGATGGCCCCAATCACCTTCTCCCAGGAAGACGCAAAGGAGGTTCACCACCCCATTGTGATGCTTTAGTTGTAAGAGCCGTAGTGGCTAGAAACGGATTGAAACGCATGCTCGTCTACAATGGCAGTTCGGTGAACATATTGTTCGGCTCCATCTTTGACAAAATGCAAATTGAACATGGGTTGATCCCCATGATCGACCCACTATTCGGATTCACTGGAGACAACATCATCCCACGAGGGCGGATTACTCTACCCGTCGAGATGGGTTCGGCACCCCTAGTGGCCCAACACTTCATGAAATTTTTGGTGGTAGATCACAGATCGGCCTATCATGAAGTATTGGGCAGATCCGCTTTGAAATATCTTTGGCTCGTCACTTTCATCCACTACTTGTGCATGAAATTTCCAACCGAACATGGGATTGCTACGGTCCGAGGCGATCAGATGGGTTCCAGGGCATGCTACTTAAACTCGCTGCGAAAGTCGGAGCCCCGAACTATTAATGTAATCCTAACTGAGGTTCCCGCTGAAATCAGTACAGACGTGAAAATGCTCGACACCCCGGAACAAGGGCATACCTCTGAACAAGAGGAAGACGTCGACATGGAAGAGGCCCCTGAACAAGGGCACCCTCTTGATGAATTAGATCCCCGAATAGTTGACTCTGAACCAAATGCAACCCCGATGGAAGAACTGGAAACTTTCTCCGCCAACCCAGAAGACCACAGTCAAGTCTTGCGTATAGGGAAGGCGCTGTCCCCGAAGCAAAAGAAGAGATGATAGCTTTCTGAAAAAGAACTTGGATGTCTTCACTTGGAAGCATGAAGACATGGTGGAAATAGATCCAAGGATCGGTTGCCATCATCTTAACATCAACCCCTTTTGTGCCTCCCATCGACAGAACAGACGTACCCTCAACCTGGAGAGGTACGAGGCACTGAAAGACGAAGTGAACAAACTTACCTGCTGTGGTTTCATAAAGGAGGCCATCTACCCAAAGTGGATATCCAATCCGGTCCTGGTGAAAAAGCCCAACGGAATGTTGTGGGTATGCGTAGACTTCACAAATTTGAATAAGGCGTGCCCTAAAGACAGCTTCCCACTTCCAAGGATAGACCAACTTGTGGATTCCACTGTTGGACACGAACTTTTGAGCTTCAAGGATGTATACTCGGGGTACAACCAGATACTCATGTTCCGACCTAATGAGGAAGCTACGTCGTTTTGTTATAAAGTCATGCCTTTCGGATTGAAGAATGCCGGAGCTACATATCAGAGATTAGTCAACATGATGTTTACTGAACTCATTAGCAAAACCATGGAAGTCTACGTGGACGACATGCTAGTCAAAAGCCTCCGGGCAGCTGAACACGTAAGTCACCTCGACCAAACTTTTCAAATACTTAGAAAATATAAGATGAAGTTGAATCCCCTCAAATGCACCTTTGGAGTGGCATCGGGTCAGTTCTTGGAATATATTGTCAATCAAAGGAGAATTGAAGCAAATCCAGTGAAAATAAGGGCCTTGCTAGATATGAGGTCACCCCAAAAACCAAGGGAGGTCCAAAGCCTCAATGGTTGGATAGCCACACTCAGTCGCTTCATCTCCAGAGCCACAGATAAAAGTTTGCCTTTCTTCAATGTGCTTAAGTAAGGAAAAAAGTTCCAATGGACTTCTGAATGTTAGAAAGCGCTAAAAAAGCACCTCGGTGAGCCGTCCCTCTTGTCAAAACCTCAACCGGATGAGTCACTACTGCTGTACTTAGCTGTTTCAGACGTGGCGGTCAGCGCCGTCCTAGTCAGAGAAGAAGGTGAGCGCCAGTTGCCAGTGTACTACGTCAGCAAAGCGCTTTTCCCAGCTGAAACATGCTACCCAGATATGGAGAAACTGGCACTCGCCCTTATCACAGCCTCAAGAAAACTGAGGCCATACTTCCAGGCCCACTCAATCGAAGTTCTCAACGATTTCCCATTGAAATAGGTGATGCAGAAAACAGACGCATCAGGACACCTACTAAAATGGGCAATCGAGCTCAGTGAGTTCAATCTATTGTTCCGATCTCGACACGACATCAAGGGCCAAGTCCTTGCAGATTTTATGGTTGAGTTTGCCAAAGTCCCAGAAATGGAGGCGATAATGGAACCAGCCGAGCGCCCCACATGGAAACTTTTTGTTGATGGGTCATCAGGAGAGACTGGCTCCGGGGCAGGGATCGTCTTGGAAAACCCAGAAGGCCACAAGCTAAACTACGCAGTAAGGTTCGGCTTCAAAGCCTCGAACAACGTCGTAGACTACGAAACCCTTCCGACAGGTCTTAGACTTGCTAAAGAGATGCAGGTCAGAAGGCTCCTGGCGAGCATTGACTCTCAACTTATAGTGAACCAGGTCAATAGAAACTTTGCAGCTAAAAATGGTAGCATGATTGCGTACTTGAAGTTGGTTCTGGACCTAGTTCATCATTTTGAAAGGTTCGAACTGACTCAAGTCCCCCGCCTAGAGAATCCACATGCAGACGCCCTTTCAAAATTAGCCAGCAGCAAGGATTCAGAGCTGCTGAAGGTTGTTCCTATTGAGCACTTATCGAAGCCCTCCATTTCTAGAGGTGAAGAGGTACTATGGATAGAAAGCACCCCATTATGGATGCAGCCTATCATCGCCTACCTGAAGGATCAAACACTGTTTGCTTCTAGAAGCGAGGCGAGGAGGTTAAGAAGAAGGGCAGCACACTTCGTCCTGCAAGAAGATACTCTTTACAAGAGAGGCTTCGCCTCGCCACTTCTTCTATGCGTGGGAGGCGAAGAGGCCACACACATACTCAGGGAAATCCATGAGGAAATTTGCAAAAATCACTCCGGAGGAACGACTCTGGCACACAAGGTTCTCCGTTAAGGCTACTTCTGGCCAACCCTGAAAATGGATGCTTGCCACTTTGTCTAGAAATGTGACAAGTGCCAGCACTTCTCAAACATACAACGACAGCCTGCTCAAAGCCTCTCCGTAGTAACCAGCCCTTGGCCATTTGCCAAATGGGGCATTGACTTTATTGGTCCACTCCCAAAAGGAAGAGGAAGTGCAACT